GGGGGGGGGTTGGGGGAGACAGAGGGAAAACAATCACTCTAATCTGCATCAGTGGTACAGGGATGGATGATGGGTGAGGGGCGTCCCACGGTTGCTGTGATTGCTGCATGATGCAGAGGTGGGAGGGGACAGAGCTGGGAATGGAGACAGATTGGGGGCTTTTGGATACACCGGACCCCCCTGGAGGTGTAGCTCAGCCTCTTCCCCTTCAACCAGCATCCTTAGATCTGGATCAGCAAGGAACCCGCGTTATAATTTTTTAAATTGAAGCTCATTCCAAAAAAAGAGGGAAGAGAAGTGATCAGTATTGAATATTATGTGTATTGAGGTACTGGCCCTTTATGATGATACCTGCTCTTGAAGTATCCTGCGGGAAACAGACCCCGCGGGCCTCCATTCCCAAAACTAAACACACTAGGATAAGGGGGCTTTTTAAAAAAAAATGTCAATGAGATTTGTAAATGACAGTCACAGGACTAAATTGGAGGGCCTTTGGGGCTCATTTACAGTGGTTCTGCGGCCGCTCAGCCTGTACAAAGTAACGGCGGGCTGAGAGGGGCCGCGGCTGTCCGCCGCTATCTGCACATACAGCGGCTAGGGACAGATGTCCAACTGTGGATCTGGATGGCGTCTGGGGCCAGTCATCCGCTGGGTGTGCAGATACATGCAAACAGCGATGGGCAGCAGGTGGTTCTGCGGCCGCTCAGCCTGTACAAAGTAATGACGGGGTGACAGGATCCATGGCTGTACGCCGCTATCTGCACATACAATGGTTAGGGACAGATGTCCAACCATTGGCGCAATCTGGATGGCGTCTGGGGCAGATCATCCGTTGGGTGTGCAGATACATGCAAACAGCGACAGACAGCAGGTGGTTTTGCGGCCGCTCAGACTGTACGAAGTAATGACGGGCTATCAGGAGCTGTGGCTGTCCGCTGCTGTTTGCACATATCTGCACATCCAGTGCGTGACCGCTACTGGACGCCATCCAGATCCCGGCCAGGGTCAGACGCCTGTCCCTAGCAGCTGTATGTGCGGATACACGCAGACAGCTATGACTCCGGTCGGCCCGTCATCGCTTTGTACAGGCTGAGCGGCCGCAGAACCCCCCCTGAATTCCACTGTAAAAATCCGCGGCCTGGTGTGAATGAGCCCTAACCTGTCTAATTTACTCAAAGGTGGTTCAATGAGATGTGAAAATGACAGTCGCACGAGTGACTGTCATTTTTACATCTCATTGAACCACCTTTGATTCCCGCCGCAGGAATCCGCAGCCTCGTGTGAATGGGCGTTCTAATTTAGTCATGTGACTCATTTTCAGATCTGAGTGAACCACCTTTGATTCCCGCCGCAGGAATCCGCGGTCCTTGTGCGAATGAGCCCCAAGGCTCTCTTATTTAGTCATGTGACTGTCATTTTCAAATCTCATTGAACCAACTTTTGATTCCCGCCGCATGAATCCACAGTGTGAATGAGGCCCTATTCTTTGCGAGCTTAGCCTATGGAACGTTGCTTCTGCACGTCACTGTTGGCGAACTTCAAGGGCAACAAGCCCCCCGTCTGGGCACGGTGGATAATTCAAGAGCAAGTAGGGCATTAAATACTATGACTTCGTTGGTGAGTTTCAAGTGCATCCGTCAGTGCAGGAAGCCTAGTTTTAGAAGGTGTGCTGGTGATTTGGAGTAAAGACAGGTCCTCTTTAACCCCCGGGGGGGGTTCCCTCATCCTTTCCCCCGCTCGGGCCTTGTTGTCAGGATCACCACGCAGCTTTGCATGGCATCCTTACGCCTGCGACATATCTGCTGACAGCAGAGGTGACCAGCTGGGTAGTGCTGCGGTGATGGGTCATCTCGCAGTCCCTCGGGCGCTTTGATTATCGGCTGCGCGAGCAATCTCAATTCCCCCCGGAGCGAGCCGCTCGCTAGACTGAGCAAAGCACGCCGTCAGCGTCAGAAGCTGTGCCGCGATGACAGCGATCTGCTACTCTGTTTTTTTTTTTTTTACATGTGCTACACACTTACATATTTATTGGGTCAGCCGCTTCCATTGCCATGGTGAGAGGAGAGCCTCCCGCCCTGGCGACGCTTGAACGGCGAAGCGCAGCGGCGTGAAGTCTCTCCATTTGGGTATTGAGCCCCCTATCAAAGATGTCCGTCACGTGTGTTTTTATTTTTCTGCTGGCAAACTCCACCTTGATTGCAGTGTCATTAGGATCACTGCATTGCCTTTCCTGTAGTGGAAGCCGGTGATTTACGGCTCAGCATGGCTGTGCGCGGCCAAGGGATGTGTGTGCCGCTAGAAGCGCGAGCTTAGCTGCGTCTAATTTGGAGCGTTGACGTTTAAAATGGTGATTATTTTGAATGGCTCTGTTCAACAGGTGTGGTTATAGGAGCGTTCCAAAGCTGCGATCATGCCGGGCGACCGGAGCGTTGTGGCATGGGAAAATGCATGATGCGCAAATGCAGCATCGTTACTTGTTAATGCGACAAGTAATGCGAAGGTGGGCAAACTCCGGCCTTCTAGCTGTTGCGGAACTACAAGTCCCAGGATGCATTGCAAGATTCTCACAGCCACAGGCATGACTTCCAGAGACAGGCATCATGGGATTTGGAGCTTCACCACAGCTGGAGGCCGGGTGTCACCCGGAGCGCAGACTGGGTGACACCCCGCTGTGATGTCATCGCCATCTAATTGACCCCTGCCGGCAGCCATCTTGGTGATGGACGCCGGCAGAGAGAGGAGGGGACGTTCACCCAGCGGGATGAGGTATGCCGCCGGGTCCCCTCCTCTCTCCTGACACTGTTGGGCTCTCGATCCGTGACCAAGTGCCTGACTTTTTAGAGAGGGGTGACACTAAAATAGCTGTCAGTCATTTTGGTGTCACCCCTCCAATGGTGTCACCCGGGTGCGTGCTGCACCCCCCTTGTGACGCCACTGGCTGGAGGTCCGGAGTTTGTGTTAATGGCACCCCAAACGTGGCAGGCAAAACACGCGACTGGAAGGGTGACAAACGCGCGGTCAAAAATACGCTTGCTGAAACTTCTGCGTGAGTTTCTTTGCCTGAGGGTCAGCCTGTTGTAATGAGGGGGCTGCCCTTCGCTGATGCGTGGCAGACATGGGAAAACGCACAGTCCACCCATAACTGGCACAGCAGGAGGAGTGAGACTTTGTGGAAGTAGGCGGTAGAAATGGTGAGTCTGAGCGCTAGTGTGCTCACATCTCTGAAAAACTGGCATTGGATCGACCAATCTTTAAAACAGGGGTGGGCAAAAGCCGGCCCTCCAGATATGGTGGAACTACAAGTCCCATGAGGCATTGCAAGACTCTGACAGTCATGACTCCCAGAGGGATGATGGGACTGTAGTTGTTGTTGCCTACACTAGTTTTAGGGTATAGTCCATCCTTCACATAGGGCCCCCATGTGTGCGGGGCTGGAAGGGGTATATCCGTGTCATTATATACGGCTGGCCTGCGTTGTGTTTTATATTGTATGGAATATTTAGAGGGGATGGAGGAGCGCCAATGTTATCTGCCATCCAAGTCACGAGGGGCGCTCTCCTAACCCTGCAAGATACGTCTGACGCATGTCATGGGGGGCTCCCCTCACCCTGCAAGATACGTTTGACGCATGACATGGGGGGCGCTCCTCACCCTGCAAGATACGTCTAACGCATGTCATGGGGGGCTCCTCACCCTGCAAGATACGTCTGACGCATGTCATGGGGGGCTCCTCACCCTGCAAGATACGTCTGACGCATGTCATGGGGGGCTCCCCTCACCCTGCAAGATACGTCTGACGCATGTCATTCAATATAGTGATCTGTGAAGCTGTGCATGAAGATGCCGGCAGGTTTACTAGACTGTTACTCTACTATTACTATATAGATTGTTACTTTGCTATTACTATATAGTTACACATTGTTACTCTGCTGTTACTATAGCATTGTAGATTGTTACTCTACTCTTACTATATCGCCATACATTGTTGCTCTACTATTGCTATATCTTTTTAGATTGTCACTCTGCTATGACTATGTGGTTATACGTTGTTACTCTACTATTACTGTATGGTTGTAGATTGTTCCTCTACTATTACTATATGGCCATACATGGTTACTATCCTATTGCTATATGGCCATACATTGTTACTCCCATATTGCTATATAGTCATACATTGTTACTATCCTATTGCTATATAGTCCTACATTGTTACTCTCCTATTGCTATATGGTCATGCATTGTTACTCACCTATTTACTATATGGTCATACATGGTTACTATCCTATTGCTATATGGCCATACATTGTTACTCCCATATTGCTATATAGTCATACATTGTTACTATCCTATTGCTATATAGTCCTACATTGTTACTCTCCTATTGCTATATGGTCATGCATTGTTACTCACCTATTTACTATATGGTCATACATGGTTACTATCCTATTGCTATATGGCCATACATTGTTACTCCCATATTGCTATATAGTCATACAGTGTTACTATCCTATTGCTATATAGTCATACATTGTTACTCTGCTATTACTATATGGCCATACATTGTTACTCTCCTATTACTATATGGTCATACATTGTTACTCTCCTATTACTATACAGTCATACATTGTTACTCTGCTATTACTATATGGCCATACATTGTTACTCCCATATTACTATATGGCCATACATTGTTACTCCCATATTGCTATATAGTCATACAGTGTTACTATCCTATTGCTATATAGTCATACATTGTTACTCTGC